TATTAATAAATTTTGAAAAGTTATCGAGAATAATTCTGTATATGAAGATTACGCGATCGAGCGTTGTAAGCGCAGGCAACTAACAATAACAATATTTTCTTATTTCACGTTTTCAGTTTTTACTTTTCCTTTCTTTATATATATATATATATATACATATATATATAAATATTTAACACTTTCGCTTTTCCTTGCATTAATTTTCTACATCAGTTGTAATATTTACTAAAACAAACAAAATAAAAATAAAAAAAAAAAAATTACAGAAATTTACCCACAACTTTAATGAAATAGATTCGTAAGCGTACCGAACATTTCTACGCTGTATTATGAATTTAAGTATAACGAAAAAAAAAAACAAATTGTTTGCTACTCATATGAAGCGTAAAATAATAATAAAAACAGATTGCAAAATACAAAAAAAATACAAAAAAAAAAAAAAGTGTTAAAACTAATACATGCACTCATTCATATATTCGTTGAGATATATTTTACATAACACGAGACAGGTTTAATGAACCTAAAAATGATACGCCTGCGCCTTTGTCTGCATCTCTCTTAGTCGGAAACATTATTGAAAACTGAAGTTATATTCATAATGAAAACGAATGATATCGTACCCAGTAATGCTCGTATAAACATATATATATATATATATATATATGCGTTATATAAAAACAAAAACAAAAAAATAAATAAATAAATAAAATAAAAAAAACCTTTACGTTTTTTATTTACTTTAAATGATAATCAGTTTTCTTATATTACATCATAATTAAATAATGGTAAATCTCTCATAGTTAAGAAGCAGAAGAAAAATGTTAAAACTGTATTAATTACGTTACCTAGTATTTGTATTCGGATGCATTGGTGTACGCTTGCGGCAAACAAGCACGGAAGCAGTAGTAATTGAATAGAAACACAATAGTTATTGTCATGTGTCAAGTTCAATGTTTTCTTACATACATATTCACAATGTACATATACACACGAACACACACACAAAAACACACTTATACACACATTTATTCATAACTATTCATAAGCACAAGCCGTAGTATGAGACAAAATATGTAAAAAGTCATCGCATGGAGTCTTCGTCTATCGTGATGAAATCCCGACAATAGCCATAGCGAGGTGGATGAGGTGTACGCGAATTTAGTAAATGCATCTAAAAAAAGGTTTATTTGTTTGTTTGCATGCAAATATATATCTTTCTAGTTTTACTTTACTTGGAGATAAAAATCGTAACTTTATACTCTTAGTTCACATATATGCGTTCACACACATCCTATTAATGTACACTTGAATTAATTTCTTTCATTTCAAGTTCTTTTTACATGCTAAGGTATTACGTTGTCGGGATATAAATATATCAAATTTGGAAATCTTCACTTTGCCTTCTTCAGCAATCGAACGATGAATTCCAAGTTCTTTGGCAATTGCGAAATGTTTCGATGTGGATTACCCTCCAACATGGGCCACAGAATTTGATTATCGCCCCCAGCAAGACCAACTTCCTCTTCATGTCCTCTTCATGTATTTTACCAGATCAATAAGATAACGCTTGGTAGGCTTGTAAAAAAATTCATGGTGTTTACGCTAACGCTGCTTTATCAAATTACCATCAAAATCGTTTTAGACATTTCAGGTTAAAAAAGACGCGCCGCGCTCTAATCGACCAATCGTTGATAAATTCGATGAAATTCTTCCAAAAAATTGAGACAACCGGTCCTATCTCATTGTACGATAGCCTAACGCAAAAATATTGCATAGTTTGGTAAAATAAAGTTTACACTTAACTATATGCGCGATAAAAATGCCGCCTTTTTACATTGATAAATTGATTAAATTGATTGTATGTGTACACTAAATGTTTTCTATCAGAAGTTATCTGTTACTTAATCGTGAACATTCTGTGTCTGAACTTGTGTGTGTGTGTCTATCTATCTCTCTCTCTCTCTCTCTCTCTCTCTCTCTCTCTCTCTCTCTCTCTGTGTGTGTGTGTGTGTGTGTGTGTGTGTGTGTGTGTTTGTGTGTCCATAAACATTGTTTATTAATCATTATGATGACCTCCTAAGCTTCTACTTATCTTAATATCGTAAAGATAACGGACATCATTACAAAATGAACAATGCTTGTAATGAAAACATTTAAGCAAAGCTTTTTTTTTTTTTTAATTATAACATATATTAATAAATTACTCAACTTATGAAGATCATAAGTAAGAGACTGCGAGAGAAAATGAAAGAATTGTTAAACGTTAGGTTGACCTATATATATATATATATATATATATAAATAAAAAGAAAAAAAAAAGATAAAATCGGACTAAAGTTATTAAATGTATGCTTAATATGCTATATAAAGGGATAAAAAAGTCTAAAGCATATAATAGTGTTCGCGTGGAATAAACTTTCATTCTGCAAAAGCACTATACGATCGCCAGCTAACTGTACTGTAAGGATGATGTTATGATGTTACAGCAGTAGCAGTAACAACAGTATGCAGCATAAATGCAGATCAGGTGAATAAAAAGCAACATTTTACATAAGACACCTTTTGCATTGCGCTAAAATTGTTTAACTAATAGTTACTTGTTGCTCTTACTGTTGTTGTTGTTGTTGTTGGATAATCAATTAAGAATTGAGCACAAGTAAAATTATAACCCAATGAATGGCTGGTTTGCAACAATGCTAATAACACAGAGAAGAACAAAAAAAATATGAAGAAAAAAACCTAAACGAAGAGGAAGAATATAAACGGGAGCGAGAGCAAAAGAAAGAAAGAGTAAGAACATTGGATAAGTAATTTTACATTAGAAGTACGAAACAAAATTAAATAAACGAAGCGCGTCAAGTGCCGCTAACAACTAATTTCGCTAAAGATTATGATCACTTTGGTTCCATTATGCTCTTCTGGTTGCTGCTATTGTTGTTCTTATTCGAAATTGTCTTAGCTTATGATATATTTGGTTGTTATTGTTGTAATTTTTATTTTATTTTTTATGCTTTTATATATAATACATTAAACATTTATTGCGAAGACAACGAACAAACAGTTTTATTTAAATAATTAATTTATGTTTATTTATTTATTTATTTTTCTTTCTTTATTTTTTTTTTTCTTTAACGCTTCTTCAATACAGTGAGAATCGTAAAGGCAAAATAAGAGTCGGTAGTGCTGCATAGTTGGCTACGTTATGAGGTCACAGCAATTAGCCAAGAGTAAAGCATATACAAAAAAAAAAAAAAAAAAAAAAAAAACATTTAAATACAGACGGACAGAGAGATAGACAAATTATAGGAGCATATATAACATCAAATCAAATGAAGGCAATATTTGCATTTTAACCTACTTTCTGACTAAAAAGTAAAAAAAGAACAAATTCCTCAAGACGATCTTCTTTGTTTCCGCGCACACAATAACTGGCCTACAAGCAACCTGTAATATGGGCCAAAGTATAAATTGTATGTAAAGTTTGGAGTTTTTGTCAAGTTCTCTGCGAAAGTTTACAAGTGTTTGTTTTACACCATCATTTGCATAATTATGCCAAGAAAATATGAAAACAAAAGAATAAATTAAATCTTAAATACAATGACATGATGCGAGTTAAGTCGAACATATAGGATACGCGATTTTAGCATTTAGATAATCGGATGGGAAGAAGTGAGCGAGTTAGGCGTAAACATATCCTTTGTTACTCAAGGCAAGACAAGAAGACTTATGATGTGCAGCGAGAGGAGGGCATTTTTATATCCAGTCCTTCCAGTTAATAATGATAATAGTATTAGTCAGTCTGATTGGTTGTCCTTTTGTCTTTCTTTTACTTGCTTTAAAATGCGTCATAAAGTATTAATAAACATTATTAGCCATGTTAACTTTTCCTTTCATCCGTCCATATGTCTTTCGAGGTTGTGCATTTCTCTCTCTCTCTCTCTCTCTCTCTCTCTCTCTAATCTCACTGATAAACGCTACGAAAAACTTATTATATCGATCGGTGAGATTTCATTTTATTCTAATCTTAGTCTTTCACTTTCATTACACATGCACATAAACTGCCGTCAACGATGTTTAAGAATTGAAAGGAAAAAAAAAAGAGAAAAAAAAAAACTTTTAAGCACACTCACCTGTTCGTCTATAGGACAGCCTCTCTCGTCTAAGAGTTGTTGTGTCGATTCGCCTAAACCGTCTAAAGCAGCGCAATCAACTATACGTACACCCATACTGCCGGGCACTATGGCACGCACTGTAAGTGTTGTTGCTTGACCTACAACAACTGAACCGGAACCATCAGGGCCGCCCAATTCAAGCCAAATACGAACACGCGGTGTCGTTGACGAACTTCGATGATAGTGATAACCATTACTATGCCTATGCTGCTGCTGTTGTTGTTGTTGTTGTTGTGTTTGAGACTTTGTCACCGTCATATTTTGTATAGTCGTATCAAATTCATTTAGTTGAGGTTTCACATCAGATGATGTTGTTGTTCTGGTTGCTTGCCTAAGATTACCATCGCCTGTTATATTATGTGTTTTAGTTTGCATCCGACCATTTCTGGAATTGAAAAGAAAGAATACGGAGAGAACGGCATGTAGTTAACAATCGTAGAGAAAATCTTGAAAATATTGCAATCTACAAAATCAAATCATTTCTACTGCCTCGCGTCACAATAGAATGCCAACTAGTTGCAGAAAAAGTCGTTTCAAGAACATAAGGTAGTGGGGAAGGAGAGGTCGCTTTAACTTCGACTGCGTTTGCTTTGCTTTTGCTCTTACTTCTTTTGCCTTTTCATGTTCCATTTAATTATAAAACAGTAAACAGTTTAAACACCGTTTGCAATGCGCTTCAGTTTCAGTCAAAGAAATTTGCCATACGCTCTCTTGTCGATAGAATATAGGGCATGCATGCAGTGAGGAGAAAATTGAGAGCGTATCGATGATGACACAGAATATCAATTAAAAGACTTTTTCAGCAACTATAAGATATGAGTTCTTGCCCAATACCATAATAAGCTGCCAGCGTGTCGGGTTAAGTAAAAACCACGATTTAGAGAGCATCACTGTTGCAATAACTTCAGAACATCAGAGTTTAGAATGTATGGAGAAACACGACTTTCACGAGAGGGAGGAAGTATTGAAACCGATTTCTAAATAGGCGGACAAACGATAAGAATTTAATATGTAAAATATTTATTTATTCATCCACTAAAAAAAGTCACGGGTTGTCTGGGATCTGGGTTATCAAGTCTGGGGTGACCCTACTTTTGATATCAAAAAAATCGAAAAAATCAACCACACCCACGCAGTGATTAAATTAATTTTTTTCATTTTTTTTACATTTTATGCTTATTACCCATAAGATAAACAGAACGGAAGATTGAAAACTACTTTATACATTCTTCACGAGAAATGAGGCGGCGGACACAATCCATTCGATGTCAAATAAAAAGACTTGGAGATTAGAATGCGATAAGATGAATGTGTTAATTCTCAAGACGTCCGATATGGATAGGTGTAGATAGGATAGCGGTAATGGATAGATGGAAGATTTCCGTAAATTCGGCCGGATATAATTTTCTTACACTATAATGGGACACAGATCATCATTAAATATCCTACATCACGCTACATTAATTCATACAACGACTTTTCAAAATGACGTATTCCATGGGAATTAGTTGAAAAAATGATCCTTCGTCTAAAACGCGTCAGTATGCAAAATCTCATCAAAATGTATCAAGAGTGAAGACAACAAAACAAAGCGGACAGACGGATAGACAAACGATTAAAACGATTCGGAAAGTGATTTTGAATCGATCAGCATAATAAAAGGCTTGTTAGATCTCAACTTCTTCTCTATGTTTCATACATTCATGCAAACTTAGTGAAGTCCAGTACACATAAGTGATGTTAAGTATGAAAATGATGCTTCGGATTTTTTCATACAATATATCCATCGTAATTTATTGAAGAAGGATTTGGCGAAGATCGAATTTGAAGGTCTTTAATATGAAGTAAACAATGAAAAGAAAGCAAGTTATACTTGTTATCCAGTGTATGGAGTGTTCTCGTACATATGTACGAAATTTTTGCTTTCATTTAAAAACAAACTTTTCATATCATGTGACGTTATAACAGGAAACAATAAAGAGAATTTCCGCCAAACACATATAATGAGAACGAAAAATATAGTAATTAAATAAATGGTTGGTAATAAAACAGCACTTGCACTGCCATTAATAGCAGAAGCAATAAAAATTCCTAAGATTTTATTGTCTCTTTATATTTGAAACATTTTTCTTACATTCTCCTAAATAATCATTGCATGCAATTTTTTCAATTCTCCCCGCAACATATTTAATTCGATTTTATGTCACTAAAATTCTATCGCAATAATCATAACATTCGCAATAAGTGATATATGATATATAGAAGAAAATTGCACGTAGAAATAATTTATCTTAATCAATATTCATAAAGTAACAAACATACCTAAATCCCGTGTAGCCATGAGATTCTCTTGGCGTTATCAGGGTTAAGCCCATTGCATTCAATGGTAATTTACAGCGTATAGTCCTTAATATGTCCGATGATTGTCTGAGCTTTTCTTCAATTTGTAGCATAACGCGTACAGACAACTCCATTGTACCATCTTGGCGGGGCTCGACACGAACGCCACATCCTGATGTTGGCAAGCGTAATGTAATATTATTCTCAGTTTTCCCTCTGGCACGACATTCATGCGCAAAATCTTTGGCATACATAAGACCGTGAAAGGCTCGATTCAATTCAAGGCGGATTTCAAACAAGTCACGCGTACAATTCGTACTAATTGCTATAATTTTATAACGATTCTTTGTCAATTTCAATTTATTGACTTTAATGCCCGCTAGTGGTGGCACTACGTCATTAATATCGCTATTATCTGGAATTAAATCGTTCGCTTCATTGTATTCGCTATCATGTATGACAGCAACGGAAGCCTGATCAAATTGTAGTTGCGGTGTCGTTAACAAAGTTGCCTCTGAAGCCGCGACTATTGGTTGCGGGTTATCGGTGCTCGTTGTTATAATAGGTTCCCCTAAACATTGATGATAATACACCGCCAGTAGCACAAAGACAAAATAGTGCAACTTTTGATGCTTTTCTTGGTTGATTTCCATTTTTGTGTGGCCACCGTTTTTCTATTAAGTTCTATCAACTTTACACTTACTTTTTTTTTTTTTTTTCTCTCTATCTTATTTCTAGTTTACATTTATTTACTCTCCATAAAACATTTGCTCTACGCTTGTGATTGGTATTATTCTGCAAAATTTTCTTCTTCTTCTAGCTATGGTTATTGGCGCATTTTTTTTAAAGATTCTTTTGTTTTTCAATAATAACAGCTGCCACCGACTATTGTTATCGTTATTATTTTTGTTGTTATTGCATTGTTGCTATTGTTGTTAAGCTTGCGGTTGACATAGCTCATCTACAAATATTAACATAAGAAAGAAGGTTAGTGTAAAACCACGTAAATCGATTACAAAAGATTTTTTTCCCTTTGCAAATAAAGTTAAATATTTTCTGTTGTAAATGAATAAAAATTCTTTTTGATTACCTTTCTTACCTATAAACTAAACTAAATGAGAAGTTTGCACAGAAACGGAGTAAATAGTAGTAAAAAGAAACTGTACAACTACATACTACTATTTATTAAAGTTGAATTCCATTCGTTAGACGGAAATGATTTATCAATTCATACGCAAAACAAGGTCACTTAAGGTAAGCGAATCAACAAAGATTAGGTTAAATACGGCAGAAGTTACGACGGCAAACCGAGCTGTCATTGATAATTTCACTTAAACCAAAAATAAGCTGATCACGATATCATATACATATACGCATAGAGAACACTTGGTCCAAGTTATCATAAAATAAGGAAGAAGATTACACTCGGCGGAAGCCGAATCTCGCCCATCCATCACTTTACTTTTCGCATTCTACTCTCCAAGTTCTTTTATTTGATACCCATATCGCTGGTATTATTTAGAAGAAATTAATCCCCCAGGTCGCACTGTCCTATCATATTCACTTTCGAATTAACCCATTTTTAGGCAGACAATATATCTTCATTTGTGGAATAGTTTTTTAACATTTTGTCTTATTTGCCTTATGATAAATGAACGCATAAAACGTTTAAAAAGTGAAAAAAATAAAATTTCATCACTTGTAACTTTGGGTGGGCATGGCCGATTAGTTCTATTTTTACACGTACCATAGGAGAGTGTTTAATAATTTCCGAGTATTAAGTAAAAACCCACAAGTTTTTGTTAAGAATAACGGAATGGCGTTCCGTTTACGCTTCACTACAGGCTTCTGCTCTGACCAATTTGACCCATTTTCAATGCCAACCTGCTTGCGAAAACTTCCAAATTTTCTGCCAAATTTTAAGTTGATATCTTCATTTTTACGATCAACAGAGAGTGCCAACAACAAATGCCGTACAGGCGTACAGACGTGGCTTCATCTATTCAGAATTTCACGCTGATCAAGAATATACATACTTTGTAGGGTTTCTGAAGCTTCCTTTTGGGTGTTGAAAACGTTATGAAAAAAAAAAAAACAACCTGAACGTACCCCCATTCTTCAGTGGTGGGTATAAAAAGTTACTCAAAATTCTTATGATCAATCAAGGAGAGCGCTTTGAAATCCTCGAAGAAAGCACTGTAGAAAGTAGGCCTAATCGCCTCATAGCCAAGACACCTTTGAAGCAAGTGGCTGTTCATCTGGATCTTGGCAGTTTCCACAGGATTCAATGAATGCACAAGGGCTTCGGATTTGAATCTTGTTATGCATCTATGCATTAATACTCTGTGATGATCGAGCTACTATTGCCATAGGAAATTCATTAAATTTCCAAAGTCTTTATAATACATTCATGAAATTTAATCCGACTCGATTTAGACTTTGATTACTATTTTAAAATTTCATCTACAATCACAAATTAAGTTTTATGCTATCTGTATCCGCCTGAGAGGCCGAAGGCGAGGAATTTCGACTAGCAACTCAATGGTCGTGGGTTCGAATCTCAAGTGCGATACGGTTTTTAATAAAAGCCGATAGCCTTAGATGCTAGTGCTTTAAAAGTTTAGTCTTAGAATTTATTTCTCTTGCGAAATTAATAATAATAATAAGTTTTATTGCCTCTTATTGGCAATTAAGCGATGTTGTTGTTGTACTACAAAAAATATAATAAATTCCAGAATGCGGCTATTAATGTGGTTACCATTAACACTGCCTTCAATGAACTTTTTATTTATTTATTTTTTTTCGCTATTATGTGACATATATTTGCAATAATTTTGAAACAATTCCTTCAAATGCTTTAAATTGTGAACTGATGTTGTCAGTTATGAACGAGCTATCAGACATTTCTGAGCTAAAAAGCAACTTTTTCGTTACTTAACCTATAATATTCCCAATAGCTAAACATACGCCCCTCTTACGCAATCTAACCTGTCAAATTAACTCGTAAAGCATATTACGAACCAATAAAATTTTTTTTTAAGTTAGCTCAGCTTCTTCCCAGTCAGCTTGCAATGTGCCTAGCGTAGCCGATCACAGAATTCATTAAGGTGAACAATTAAGTTGTGAATATCCTTGACAGTCTCACAAGGCAATATACTAGAAAGCTCACCCGCTATATTAACCGGGCTTGCTTTTCTAATTAACGCTGTTTCTAACCGACGACTTATTCCCATATCTAAACGGAGCTTTCATTCTTCCGCAGCATCCGTATTCGTATCATACTGTTTGTCATTCTCTTAAAATTGTTGAGAAAGAAAACAAAAAAAAAGAAATCGGTCATGACTTGATACACTTCACTTTGCCTTATGAAATATTCGATACGAATTGACAAGGTTTACATATAACAAAATTTATTTTTAAGTAAATACAATCGTAATGAAAAGTTTAAATAAATTAGTTAATGAGAAAGAAAAAAAAAAAAATAAAAAAAATTAACAAACCAAAGACAATTATTTGCCTTAAGTTGCATAAGCTTTTATATCTCGCATCTCATCGCGTATGTGTAAATATCTCTGCTGTTTATTTTCTAATTCACGTTAGCGCGTGCATGTTCATTTTCAATGGGTGTTTGTGTGTGTGTGTGTGTGTGTGTGTATGCAAATATATACAAATCGTAATATTTCTTCTTTGTTGCTGCCTGTACGCGAATGAGTGAGTGAATGTCCCATAAATCCATTGAGAAACGTTGATGAGATAATTAAGCTGAGTGTATTAGGTTTTCTTAAATAATCGATTAAATAACCTGACCTTCAATGATGATTAACAATAAGCGATAAGCCATAAACTGTATTGAGAAAGGTCTTCTCTTCTTTTTCACTCAACGTAAGCAACTTAAGCAACAATCGCCAATGCGTTTGACTTTTTCCCATTTTATTTTCATTGATTCATTGTATGTTTACAAGTTAACGGTTTGTTTAAAACCAAGTAAACAAGTTTTAATACCTTTGATTTGTGTTTGTTGATACAAGAAGTTATAATACGACGCACGTCGATGCCAACTTTTATGTAAACAACATTTTTCATAATGCTCAAGAGTTTACTATGCATGCATGCCTATTAATAATTGTAGTGCATTTGTAATGCATTTGTTTGAAAATTCCAACCAAAGGTAGACTACAAATAATTGAGTTCAAGTAAATAAATATTTGTTCAATTCAATGATAATTTTCGACTATAAGCAACGTTTCGATACGATATACTCCCCTAACCATCATGAAAGTGCAAGAGCATATTTTTGGACAATCATGTTCGTCGTAATTATTTGCATACTAAGCCGATAGAACACACTAACATTTTTCCCCGAGAATTTTATATATTTATATCGGGTGAAGTGTATCGCGTCAGATTTCATATATGATCTATAGACGTCAGTCAAGGAGCACGTGTTCACTACCAATCACATCAGTATGTAAAATAGACTCACCCTAAGATCCTAAGGTCAATTCTATTCATCTCTCTTTTCTCGGAATTTTCAAGTTTTTCTCTTTCTTTGCAGCTATTTTACAAGATTTAGAAAAAAAAATGGAATTTCATGAAATGTTAAGCATATTTTCGGACAATGCGTTTCTTCTTTTTTTTCCCAGTTGTAAATACCTATTCGTTAGAATCTTTCTTCTATACTTGTAATAAAATAAAATTTTTTTAGTCTTTTCTTTTATTGAGAGTCTCGTTAACGGCTATCGAATATTTTCGTCCATTTTGGGAAAGGCCACTACCTGAAATGTTTTTGACTTTTTAAAAACTTGCGATTTAAAATTTGATACGATTTTAGAATATACTGCGTTGCGGTCAATCCTCAAGGCGCAGCGAGGTACAGACGAAATGAGCTGATCTTGCGATTGATTAATTCATCCAAAAACCGTTTTCGATCAACAATTTTGAAGGAAAATTAAACAAAAATGATGAAAGTATATCAATCCGTCACTATCTGAAGTAATTCCCCAAACGTATGCATATGTCTGAATGGAACAGAATTTCTTTCAAAATTGTTCTCTAGAATTGAACTAAGGATAAGATATATCAGAAGTTTTCTAGAAAAATGCAACGGACATATATAGACCTATATTAAGATGATGAAAATTTTCACTTTATTTATATATTTATGATTCCTATAAATGGATTTATAGGAGGTTAGATTATTCTATGAATAGTTTACGACGACAACTCAAAGACTTTTTGATATATATGAAGTGTTGAAACAATGCCATAGACAGTCATGCATTAGGCGATTAGTGTACCGGGACGGACCACGGATATGACTTTGCAAAAAATACATTTTCTTATTTTTCTTCGAAAATCATCTTTCCTGACCTGAACCTTATTCTCTACTCAACGGACAGGTCGACAAATCAAATTCTCATTTCGTAGAATAAAATATTGTTATCCCTTTTATGAGAAATCATTTCATCTGAACTATGATCCGATGAAATCAATGACAATGAAAATATATCGTGGTATGCGGTTTCCTGTCGCCTAAAGATATGAATTGAATAATTCAGCTGGCAAGTTTTCCTTGCCTTCTTTAAACTTATTTGGCAAGTACAGTGTGTTCTGACTATGAAATTACGAAGAGAAAAAAATTCTCGACATTCATCGACAAATTACGATTATATCGTCTTGCAAATCTGCTAAGAAAAGTATGCGAAAATTTTGACCTTCAAGTGCTGGCTTATAAGTATATGAAGTCATCGATGAACAAAGGAATGATATTGTTTGTGACCGATATTACAACAACAAGCATAAAATGGATGAAAGCGGCATTCCATAGTAGGCTTTTCCTGCATTCCTGAATTTCGCGCTTTTAAGTTTTACAAAAGGAATAAGAGGAAGAAGTGTACGTATCTCGCTATGGCTTTAACGTATCACAAAGCGATTTTTTGCAACCTGCATATGCATGTTGAA